CTCAGCCTGTCTTTGTAGGGAGGTGCTGCAGCCCTCTGAGCATCTCTATGTAGTCCTGGCTTGGTCCATCAGACTGCAGGGATTGGCTTTTCATGGCTTTGCTGTAGTCAGGAATTCAGCAATTCAATGATACAGAAACCACAGTTATAACAAGCTAACTAAGAACTGCCAGGAGATTTGGGAAAGACCAGGAATGTGCAGAATTCCAACAAATGAGAGCCAGAAAGCCTTTCCCAAAAGACTTTTTCCAACCTACCTGACCACACACTATCTAAGACTCCACCAAATGCAGTGGCAATTCAGTTCATCCACTCAAGCAGGGAACGTGAAGCATTCAGAACTACTGCCCAACATATTTATCCCTGAATCTCTCCATCAATTGGATCAGCAGCAGTTTGCTACAGCTCAGCCAACTAAAGCTTCTCCCAGCACCAGCTTTGCTGCACAGCTCTGCAGCACCCCACCAACCCAGCGCAGGCAGGGCACACACAGCTACACTGCAGTGTGATTCCTTACAGAGCTCAACAGGAATCATAATAAAGAACAAAATGAGGGCTCTCATCTGTTCAGATGGCACGAGGTCAGACTTCCTTCCCATGTGGCACCAACCCAACAGGATCAGATCAAAGCATTACTGGAATTATCTCTGTATTTAGAGCTCCCAGCAAGCTAAGCACAGAGCAGCAGGCCTGGACAGTGAGTCTGCATTCACATGAAAATCTCAATGGACAACTGAAGTTATGTCTTTCCAGGAATATGAGCCCCAAATAAAAACCCACTGCTTTGCAGAACAGCAAAGGGAAAAAAACGTAGACTGGAAGTCAGTGAGCTGCATATGGACAGAAATGGATTTAAGAGAGGCTGAAGGATCACAACGAGAGTCTGATTCTTTTAACAGAGGGAACTAATCAGTCCCACAGGGAACAGTGCTGTTCAACATACAAGTTACCTGAAAAACAGGTGCAACACTGACATGGGTAACATCATGGGCAAAGGAAGGCTCATGCTGCATCCAGACTGGATGTGGCTCTGGGCAGCCTGGGCTGCTGGTTGGTGACCTGCACACAGCAGGAGGTTGGAGCTGGATGAGCACTGTGGGCCTTTGTAACCCAGGCCATTCCATGATTATGATTCTAAACTACCTGCTGCCACTGATAGATCAGATCCTGGGGTCCTGCTGGCCAGCCCTCCTCCTCCTCCTCCTCTCAAAGAAGCAGCACAGCAGAACTGGAAAAAGGTGCAGAAGAGTTGAACAGGAGATTAAAGATACAGAGCAGCTTCCTTAAAACCAAACACAAACAATATGGGAAAGCTTTTCGATGTGGGAAAGATTGTTATCAGCCAATGGATACAACAGACCTCGCAGAGAGCAGCAGAGGACACTGAGGAGAAGGGCTGCTCCCCCAGCACAAGGACTACATGGCATCCAACAGAACCACAAAGCATCAACTGGGAATGAACACACGGCTCAGCTGTGAAATCTTTACCCCAGGGCATCAACTACATCCCATGGGTTAAAAAAAAAACACCTACCCAGTATTTAAGGAAAAAAGGAAGGGAAAAAAAGGGATGTGAAACATGAGGGACAGCAGGCAGGCAATCCTCTGCCCGAGAAGCCCCTCCACACCTCCCCAGAGCCCTGTGCCTGCACACACTCACTTTGTTCCTGCTCTTCTCCTGCACCCACACTCAGGAACAAGGAAATCTGAAAGAGGAGATGGCAGCAGGACGAGGGAAATGGTTTGGAGCTGAGGGAGGGCAGCTGGAGGTTGGATGTGAGGGGAAGTTGTGTGCTGTGAGAGCGGTGAGGTGCTGGAACAGCTGCCCAGAGAGGCTGTGATGCCCCGTCCATCCGTGGAGGTGTTGGAGGCCAGGTTGGATGGGGCCCTGGGCAGCCTGGGCTGCTGTGAAATGGGGAGGTCGGTGGCCCTGCATTGGTGGGGGGTTGGAGCTTCGTGAGCCTTGAGCTCCCTTCCAACCCAACCGTTCTGTGACTCTGAGATCCTACGAAAGAAGCCAAGCGACCTCTGAGCCTGACCCACAGCCATTCCTGTGCCATGCACCTCACATGGCTGCTTTTAGAATCATCTGCTGCTTTTTGTTACTGATGTGGCTGCTTTTCGAGTGGACAGGGAATTGCTTTCACCTATAAATATCAAGGACTGATGCAACACCCACTGCCATTACACAGCAGTGCTCCACCATTACATGTCAGGGTCCCAACCCACTTCACCTCAGCCAAGTGCTCCTGCCCAGCAGAGGCTTCCACCATCTTCTGACCCCAGATGGAGCAGCATTGATTGCAGGATGCAGACAGGAACCAACAGACAACCTTCCATCTTTTCCAGGATATACCCTATAGGAATGCACTGACAGGGCATCAAACCTGTTACTCTGAGATTTCTGAAGTGCAGACATCAGCCATTCCTACAGAAATAACACAGCTCCAAGTGTTGTTATCCCTCACCCGTGGCCCTACAGCTCCCCTGCTGCAATGTGAAGTGGCTGTGCCTCCATTTCTGTTTCCTCCTCAGGAAGCCATCACCCTTCCACAGCAGTCATTCCCAACCTTCAGACAGCACTCCAGGAGCACAGGCACCCCTCAGCCTCCACAGGCCCACACCACATCTGTGCTCCTGCCACGATGGCTGTTCCTACGAATGCCATTTTCTAAACCTCTCTGCAAGATCAGCACTTTGCCCAGGCTTTTTGCTTGCAACATGAAATCCACAGGGTAGTGCTGGATGTCCAAGTGACAGCTTTGTCAAAACCCATCCCCAGCATCGTGTGAGAAGTTTCCCAGTAACAGAATCCCAGAACAGCCTGGGTTGCAAAGGAGCACGATGCTCATCCAGCTCCAACCCCTGCTGTGTGCAGGTCGCCAACCAGCAGCCCAGGCTGCCCAGAGCCACATCCAGCCTGGCCTTGAATGCCTGCAGGGACGGGGCATCCACAGCCTCCTTGGGCAACCTGTGCCAGTGCCTCACCACCCTGTGGCTCAAAAACTTCCTCCTCATATCCAACCTAAACCTCCCCTGTCTCACTTTCAAACCATTCCCCTTGTCCCATCACCACCCACCCACAGCCAGCACTTTTAGGACACTGTTCATGGAACTGAGAAATACTGACAGCAGCTGTTTGCTGCCAATGCACCCATCCAACAGTCATCCACTTCTCTGCAACGTTCTGCAGCTGCTGTTACTCATTGGCATCATCAAACAAAGATCCCTTCCCTACGGCTGGGGATCCATCCACTGCTCAGGATGCATCTCCTGGGTCAGAGGAATCAAGACAGAAATTGGAATTCATGACCTCTACTTGGATGTGGCCCCTGGACGTGGCTCTGGGCAGCCTGGTCTGGTTGTTGATGATCCTGCATATAGCAGGGGGTTGGAAATAGATGAGCGTTGTGGTCCTTTGCAACCCAAGCCATTCTGCGATTCAAAACAAAGTGAAGAAGAACTGTATGTTCTTCAGCTCTGCTTCCCACCCAGAACTGCTCTGCACAGCTAAACAGGCCTTCCACAGCACATACTGCAAGACATTGTGCCACAGTGAATGCTTAACGTCCCACACCTCACAGAGCTGCTGGAGGAAACGTGGGAGTTGAACAGCATTTTCAGAAGGTGCACAGAACGAGCAGCACATCCACCAGAATGCACAGCCCACTGCAGCACTGCTCTCTCTCCAAGGCCAGCACTTTGCCTGCAGGCACAGAGGATGGGGATGGATTGAGAGCCCTGCCAGGCAAAGCTCAGCTGCAGCCTCCTGCACTGTGCACACTCAGCAGACTCTCTGCACGCACCCACGACGACCTGCAGGTACAAGTCTGGGCAGAGGATTAGCAGTTTTAAGCAGTCATTTGCATCGATCCATTGCTACCAGGAAATGTGTAAGTCTTCCCCCTCGAAAGCTCTTCTGCTTCAGAGAGAAAGCTCAAGGAGGTACAAAGAATGAGGAAAGCAGAAGCGTGAGGGGTCTGAAGTGATTCATTCAGAAGAACACTTCCCTGATAAAGGGTAAAATCCACAGAACAGCCAGCAGGAGAACCTGGAGATGGCTCACCTACGTGGGCATAAGAAACACTTCACCATCCAGAGAGCACAGCCGGCTGCGAGGAAGGCTGAAGAGCTCCCTTAGGCACCTTCCCCTCACAGCTCTCCACTGCCCACACCAAGCACCACCACGTCTCCATCGCTGCTTCTGCAGCCCTCTGAGTTCCCATTTCAGGTGGGAGTTTGGCTCCTGCCTCCCACAGCTGTCAGGGAAAGCAGGCAAGGAGTTCCTGGAGCAGGAGGAGGAGAGCGGAGCGCTCCCACACGGCTCTGTGGGGTGCTGCCCATCCTGCTCTGCAGAGCCGCCCTCCAACTCCCACAGCTTCAGTGGCATTCTCACTCTGAACCCTGGAGGGCTGGAAGCACTGCCTGCTAATTAGCAACTATTCACAGGCAGGATGCCAAGTGACAGAAATGAGAGCCACTGACACCGCTGTGACCACATACCCTGCAAAACGGGAAGCAGAAATGAAGAACTCCGTATGCATTTCCCTGCATTGTTCCCTCCAGAAAAATAAAAGCCACAAAATACATTAATCAGAACCACTTTCCTTACAGAAAGACGAGAGAGCTCCTTAACATCTGCAGTGCTGAGGAGGCACAAGGGAATCCAGGCATCTGTAAGGTGACTCATTTGCATGGGATTGATTTTCAACAGGTTCTAGATTACAGAAGAAACGTTTGGCAGGGCTGAACAAGCAAGCAGGGCTGTCAGCATAGGACAAAGGGAGCTTTCTGTTATCTCCAGCATCACGGACAACTAAATATTTTCCTTTCTAATAACGCACCACTAAAAGACAGGGCTGGCAAACCATTAAGCTCTTTCTCCCCAGCAGCGAAACAATCCCCAAATGAGGCTGTTAGATAACAAAGTCTGACTCCAGCATTGTCTTCTGAGAACAGCCCAGCTATTATCCCCACCTATCTTTATCACAATGCTCCATACAAGATTAATGCAGCTTTTACCAACAAAACTCAACTCTCCTCCTCTCACAGAAGCACAGAATGGCCCGGGTTGCAAAGGATCACAGTGACCACGTAATTCCAGCCCCCTGCTATGTGCAGGGTCGCCAACCACCAGACCAGGCTGCCCAGAGCCACATCCAGCCTGGATCCTCTCCTCATTCATCACTGCTCCCTCGCATCAGCTGTAACTCACTGTTCAATGGGCAGGAGCCTCAGAATTCCATGCTCTTCCCAAGGGAATCCAGTTGTGCAGAAAACGCAGCGGCCATCCCGAAACGTCAGCGCTGTGCGGTCACCTGAGGACACAAAGCACACCCTGAGGACACAAAGCACACCCTGAGGACATCACCTCCATGCTCTGACCCTCCACTCCTTTCTGGAATTTGGGCTGAGAAATAACATCTCACCGACTCGGCAGCTGAGGGCTGTGCTGCAGAACTTCCTCGTGTTCCTTAAAACCCTCATTTCAATGTACCATGCCAGGACAGGGCAGCAAGAGGAAAGAGCACAGCAGCCCCAGTGTAACCGCAGGTGGGAAGGGCTGACCCCCAAGGAGGCTGTGGATGCCCCAGCCCTGCAGGCATTCAAGGCCAGGCTGGATGTGGCTCTGGGCAGCCTGGGCTGCTGGTTGGTGACCTGCACACAGCTGAGGTTGGAGCTGGATGAGCATCGTGCTGCTTTGCAACCCAGGCCGTTCTGTGATTCTATGTCACCCCTCCTCCACTCCATTAAGCTGCACTGTACAGGTGAGCACTTCTGCTCATCAACCTGTACCTGTTGTACTGTTCAATACCTTTACTAATGAAAGAAGATTAAGGTGAATTCTCTAAGCACAGTTACAAGAACTTTAAGAACTGACATGCCTAGCAATCCACCGGCTAAACCAACAGCAAGTAAGCACAGCTCTCCGCAGAGAACACTTGTCACATTTCACTCATCACTCAGACTCTGGCACTTCAAACACTACTTTAATGCTCCTGAGAAGAAAAAAAGAAAAACCACTATGGATCCTTCGCTCTTTTGTGCCATTTGTATGCTTGATTCTCATCTGGAGAGACAGCCAGCACAGCACCACTGTCAGTGGGCACAGAGCTGTCCTGGTGGCAGCCTGGCCTCTGCCTTTCATAGGTAACCCAGGGTGTATCACAGCTGTATGTGAAACCTATGGCAGTTACAGCAGCAAAGAGCTCATGGCACAGCTGAAAGGAAGCTTCACTTTCTACAGGGAGGCTCTGAGAAAAAGCTGAGGGTTATTTTGGTGCTAATGCCACAGCTCTGTCCTGGCTGTAGGACCAACACACCAACACTTGTGTGAGGATGCAGACTGCTCAGCTTCAGCCCAACCTCAGGAATCACAGAACAGCCTGGGTTGCAAAGGAGCACGATGCTCATCCAGCTCCAACCCCTGCTGTGTGCAGGTCGCCAACCAGCAGCCCAGGCTGCCCAGAGCCACATCCAGCCTGGCCTTGAATGCCTGCAGGGATGGGGCATCCACAGCCTCCTTGGGCAACCTGTGCCAGTGCCTCACCACCCTATGATGAAAAACTTCCTCCTCATATCCAACCCAAACCTCCCCTGTCTCACTTTAAAACCATTCCCTCTTGTCCCATCACCACCCACCCTCACACACAGCCGTTCCCCCTCCTGTTTATCCGCTCCCTTCAAGAACTGAAGGCCACCATGAGGTCTCCCACAGCCTTCTCTTCTCCAAGCTCAACAGGCCCAGTTCCCTCAACCTTTCCTCAAGCAGAGCTGCTCCAGCCCTCTGCTCATCTCAGTGCTCCTCTGGACCCGCTCCAAGAGCTCTGTGCCTTTCTTGTGCTGGGGGCCCCAGGCCCGGACGCAGTGCTGCAGATGCGGTCTTACAAGAGCCGATAGAGGGGGACGATCACCTCCCTGTCCCTGCTGGCCGCCCCTTTTTCATTGCAGCCCAGAACACAGCTGGCCTTCCGGGCTGCCATCACACTCTACTGCCTCATATCCAGCTTCTGTTCCACCAGGACCCCCCAAGCCCTTCTCTCAGGACGTTCTTCCCGCAGCCCCTACAAACACCTGCCATTAAACACATGGAGCTGGGACACCCGCGCTCCGCAGCGCTCTGCCGGCACGGAGCTCCGCCACGCCGCATCGGCGCTCAGCGGGGCCGCGGGGCAGCGCGCGCCTCACGCAGGGCAGCGGCGCGCAGAGCCGAGCAGCGAGCGGCACCGCACGATGCGCTGCAGCCCCGCACGGACCTTTGTTCTCCCCCCGCCCGCCCCCTCCCCTCGGCCGCCATTTATCGCCCCTCGGCCGCACCCCCGGGCCCGCCCCGACCGCGGCGGCCCTCAACCCCCGCGATCCCCGAGAATAGAGGAGAAAAATCGCTCCGAGGGGATAAAAGCGATCGGGAGCGGGGCGGGGCCGCGGGGCCGCACGCGGTAACGGGGCGCTCCGGGAGCGGCGGCGCCTCCGCTCCGCTCCGCACCTCACGGCCTCCGCTGCTCCGCCGCGGGTCCGGCCGGCCGCTTCTCAACGGGAACGCGCAGAACGCCTTTCCTTCTTTCCTTCTTTCCTTCCTTCTTTCCTTCCTCCTTTCCTCCCTTCCTTACCGGCGCCGTACCCGCGGTTTTCCTTCCCCGTCCCGGCCGTTCCGTCCCTTTACTTTCCCCCTAATCCTCCCCTCGCGCTTTCCGCCGCGCTCCGCCCGCCCCCTCGGCGCCGTTTCCCGGCTCGATCGCGCATGCGCGACCCCCGTGGCCACGCCTCCTTCAGCGCGCCGCGCGGTTCTGCCTCGGTTGGCCCCGCCCCCTTCCGCCTGGACACGCCCCCTATGGGCGGGGCTGCCGGAAGCCACGTGAGAGCGTAGAAGCGGCGCGCCGGGAGCACGTGGAGCGGGACTGCGCAACGGAGTGCGCGGGGCTGCGGGCAGCTCCGGGGGGAAGAGCGGATCGGGAGGGAGACCGGGAAGGGCCCCGCAGCAGCTCCATGGTTTGGAGACAGATCAGGCACGGGTAGGGCAGCACGATGATGTTTGGGCTTGGCTGTGCTGCTGCCCAGGCATCCCGGGTCCCGCTGGAACCGCCGCTGCCCGGCCAAGGCCAGAGGGACCCCGCCTGGTTCATCAACCGCGCTGCTTAAACACGGCCCTGGCTGACAAACAAAGAGCCACTCGCAGCAGTGACCCTGAGCACGCAGATGTTGGCTGTCCCTGCACAAGGCCACGGTGTTCTGCCCTCGGTTGCATCCCTACTCTTGGCTTTCCCACAGTGTCAGCTCTGCAGCAAGGTCTCACTTCAGCCGTGGATGCGCCAAGTTTTGTGGCTCAGCAAAGCTACGAGATCGGCCTCCAGTTTCCACATGCCAAGGGCAGGTGGGGGATCTGGGAAACACCGGGTTCAGACCTTGCTGCAAACCAGGAGCCACCATGGCTGTCAGCAATCACTGCAATCGCTTTTGCTGCGTGGCAGAAGTGAGGCATGCTGAAATAGCAGGCTGCAGCTGCTGCTAGGAAACAGCTCTGAGAGTAAAGCTGGTTCGGAAAGGCTTTGCTCCTTTGGGCACAGCACTGCTGTGACAACAGCCCAGAGCCTGGGGACGCACGGCACGGCTCTGTGACACTCATAGGGCGCCCGTCCCAGGGCTGTGCTGCCCTGAGCCAGCTCTGTGCAGCCTCCAGCAGCTCCTTGCTTTACTGCACACCTCAGTGGCACGCCAGCAAAAGCCACCAGCAGTGAAGTGTGCCGACTGTATCACCATTTCAGGAGAGAGAAAGGAGGGAAACAGAGCCCTAGAGCAGGGATGTCTGGGTTTCTGTCCGAGGGGAAGCTCGTCACACGGGCACTGCTTCAATCAGACATCACTGCAGGCCATTGCAGGGGAATTCAGGCCGTGCCTTTGGTTGGTGCTGCAGCAGACGGTCATACACCAGCCAAGCCTGAGGAGCCCTGCCGCCAAAGGAGCCTCCAGAACAGAGCCCAGGGTTCATCCCACAGCCCAACACATCTATTCCCCATCACCACCATCACGGGGATGTTCCTAACAACCTGCTGCAGAACAGTAACAGCCATATACTGCCTGTATCCTTTATCTAATTAAAATGAGCGGCCACGAGCCCCTAATAACACTTCATGACATGAACTGGTAGGTCATAAAGCATCAGTGGTTGTGATCTGGATGCACTGATAGATGCAGGCTGATGTGCAAACGCTGCCTGCACAAGGACAAGCTGGAGTAGTCACTGAAGAGACACACATAGGCACAGGGGTTTTATATTAAAGGGGGAAAGTAACAAACAGCAAGGAACCCAAACGAGGCGGCCTCCAAGTCTTACATCAGCAAGGAGAGCAGCTATATACAGAGCTGCGTATTGTTTAATTCTGCGCCAACTGGGAGTTGAGCAAATCTCTCCCATGCCAGAGCTGGAAGAAAGGTAAGAATTGCAACACGTCCCCAAGCCATCCCTGCCTCCGCCCTCTCTGTGTCATCTCTTTAAATGCAGGGTGGAGCAGCCAAGCACAACCGGAAAAGGTGAGGCATGCCCAGCCCTCAGGGCACGCCCCCTGCCTGTGCAGACCTGCTGCCACGCACATCCAGCCCAGTTGGTTCTCGGTGGCCTCGTGTGTTGGGAACGGCTGGGATGACAAAGGGATCAACAAGCTGTTGACAAGCTGATGCCCTTGTCTGCATGCAGTTGGAGATGCTTTGAGGCTTCCCTCCTAGGCCACATTGCTGCACAGCTCCTGGAAGGCGCTGAGGAAGCAAGCAGGCTGGTTTTGCAGCGTGTCTGATCTGTAGGTACCAATCTATAGGTTCCAACCCATCAGCACCGGTTCTCCTCGTGCTGCAGTGCTCTCACAGCTCTGTGTGGTGTCACTGCATCACAGGACAGCAGCTGACAGCCCTCTAGCAAAAAAGGAGACGTTCTTGTCCTGGATCTTGTATTGGTAGATCTGGATGACGTCCTTCTCTGTTGACTCCAAGGACAGTCTCTTAATTATTTTAATCTGCAAACGGAAAGGACCAGGAATGTCATCCCTTGGGATGCCACAGTCACAGCATCCTCACCCCCTGCCCCTCCATGCTACCCTTACAAAACCACTGTTACAAAAACATCACGCGGTGCTGCAGGCAGCTCACCCTCGTGGCAGCCCCTAACGAGAGGCCAGCAGCAGCGAGCAGCACAGCTGCGACCCCAGCCCAGGAGAAACGACCACAGCTACGGCCAGGATCCGTGCACGTGGTGCTTTGGGGAAGCTTCCCAAGAACCAGATGTTATTCCTGTGCCACCACCTCGGTGGAGGACACAGCCTGCACTGTGATGCTGCACAAACCTCACCCATCCTCCAGGAATGGGAAGCGTGCAGGATGTCACCGAAACATCCCCAGACAAATCCTGCAGGAGCCTGGGTGTCCTAGCAGGTCCCAGTGACTGCAGCAAGGCTGTGTCAGTCCTTAGCCATGCTGTAGACCAGGCTAATCCTGGAGCATCCTGCAGGGCAGACAGAGCACGTCCCCACACTGTCAATTCTGTGTGACATTGCCACGTGCCACCCCCCAGCGCCCCGTCGTGCCTTACCTCCCCATGAACATCCTTGCAGAAGCCAGTTGCCAGCCCCTCCACCCACAGGATCAGGTTGCTGTGATGACACAGGGAGGTCACCACCAACTTGTTCTCCTCATCCTCTGAATCCTCGCTGCCGTGAACCAGCACCACAATGTTCCCCTGCAATGACAACAGCTGGCAGTGCTGAGCCTGTCGTTGGCTCCAAGTCACTCCAGGTGAGGCCAGGCAGGGAGCAACAGGAGCCTTGTGTCCAAGTGCCCTGCCAGTAAAGCCACTCAGACATCTGCCAGCATGCCAGCCGGTGCTCAACCGAAACCCACTGGGAAAATCAACATGAGGCATGTATCACAGAATCACAGAACGACTTTGGTTAGAAGGGACCTTAAAGTCCATCCTTTTCCAGCTCTGCAGTGGGCTGCCCTTCCCATCTCAGGCTGCTCAGGGCCCAGCCAAGGCCTCAGGCTCCTCCAGGGATGGGACACCCACACTTCCCTGGGCAGCAGTGGCAGGGCCTCACTGCTCCCTGAGTAGTTTACCCCTAACATCTAATCTAAATCTCCCTTCTTTTAGTTTAAAGCCATTTCCCCTTTCTTATCCCTATCTGCCCATGTAAAAAGTCTCTCTCTCTTCTGTTCATAAGCTCCCTTTAAGCACTGGAAGGCCGCAGTGAGGTCCTCCCTTGAGCCTGCTCTTCCCCATGCTGAATGCCCCCAGCCTGTCTTTATAGGGGAGATGCTCATTCTCTGAGCATCCTCGTGGCCTCCTTTGGACCCTCTCCAACAGCTCTGCATCTTTCTGGGTTGGGGTCCCAGCTCTGCACGCAGATGGGGTCCCACAAGGGCAGAGCAGAGGCCAATCCCCTCCCTGCCCACTGCCACCCCTCTGCTGATGCAGCCCAGGACACTGTTGGCACTCTGGGCTGTGAGTGCACACTGCTGCCTCGTGTCGACCTTTGTACCACCAGAACCCCCAGGTCCTTCTCTACAGAGCTGCTCTGAGTTCTTCTCCCATCCATACTTATATCTGGGACTGCCCTGACCCAAGGGCAGCACCTTGCACCAGGCCTTCTTGAAGACATACACACATCTCTGAAATAGCTTGGTGTGTGTATGTGTACAGATCTGTATACACACAAACACACACATCTGTAGTATCTGCAGAGGTATCTAGACTAAAAATACATGCAGCCTTTGTTACAAGCTATCTAGCTAAACCTGTCTGTCAGGCCGTGCAAACAGCAGCTCTCTGGATGAATTCAGAACAGCTAAATAAAGACACAGCTGAGCGGCTGCAGCCAGAGCTGTGCTTCCAAACCTTCTCAGCTCCTGAAGAGCTCCCCAGTGCAACACCACCACCATTAACCATATCCCAGGAGCCTCTGCCTCAGCACAGGCAGCTCACTGTGGACTTAAAATAACATCCAATTCTCAAACAAGTAAAATGTATTTTAAAGCTTCAGAACAGCTTGGACAGAAATAGAAACCTGTTAGCAAAATTTACCTTTTTTTTCCTTTTTTCCAGCTGCTTTGATGGTAAGTATTCCCAGCAAGCAGAACATCCCCTGTCAGCATTTACAGCTCAAACACCCCAGCAACATGTGAAGTGCAGGGTAACAAAACTTGACACCATCTACTTTATTTCTCACTCAAGCAAAGAGAGAAGTGGCTGAGGTGGTGGATGCTGCAGTGTAAACAGCAAAGGATGGATGTGATTAATGATTTTTGGCTGTGATGCTTCCAGGACGAGCGCATCGCCAGGGAGATTGTTGTACAATTGCCACATCGTCACATGCCCTCAGAAAGCAGCTGGTGCAAAACTGCTGGAAGCAGAGAGCCACGTCCCCTCCACCCCAGGAGCCGAGCAGACCTTCAGCTACGTCCCCAGCTCGTCAGCCCCTTGTCACCTTAGAAATGTTTCCTCCTGCATGCACACAAACACGGCTGTGAGCAGACATCTCTGAAGTGCCACAGCTTGAAAAAAGCAGTGCGTTCCACCCCAAAGCCCTGCTCTGCACAGCACCTCCTGGAAACCAGTTGCAAAGGTACCCCGGGAACTCATGCAACTCCCCAGGAAGGGCCATGGAGCGAAGGTCTGAACTTCCCTCAGAGACAAAGCCTTCTGCACTTCTACTGTGCACAGGGGAACAAAGAGAAAGCCAGGCTTTGCTTCTGTGTGCGGAGGGAGCAGTACCTTGAGCTGAGAGCACACCACCATTCTGCAGTAGTGGATGAAGTCCAGCACGTCCACTGGCGCAGCACCCAGGCTGAGCAGCACGCTGAGGTCATCCACCAGCAGCACCCGGCCCTTCCAGCAGTCACTGTCAGCGGGCGTCAGGGACGTCTGGACAAAGTGAAACAGGTCCTTGAGGTTGGAAACGCTCCCACTGGAAGGGAAAGAGGAGATCTCGAGGGGCTGCCATCACCCAGATCACGGCATCACAGAACGGTTGGGTTGGAAGGGAGCTCAAGGCTCACGAAGCTCCAACCCCCCACCAATGCAGGGCCACCAACCTCCCCATTTCACAGCAGCCCAGGCTGCCCAGGGCCCCATCCAACCTGGCCTCCAACACCTCCACGGATGGACGGGGCATCACAGCCTCTCTGGGCAGCTGTTCCAGCCCCTCACCGCTCTCACAGCACACAACTTCCCCTGACATCCAACCTCCAGCTGCCCTCCCTCAGCTCCAAACCATTTCCCCTTGTCCCACTGATGTCCCACTGAGCATCACTGACCCAACAAAGGCAATGCCAGCCTGCAGCACCCCTACTGCCATGACATCCCTCAGGTCACAGAATCACAGACTGGTTGGGCTGGAAGGGACCTGACAGACCATCTGTTTCCAAACCCTGCCATGGACTGCTTGTCCCCAACCAGATCAGGCCGCCCAGGGCCCCATCCAGCCCTGCCTTCAGTGCTGCCAGGGATGGGGCACCCACCCTATGCCAGGGCCTCACTGCCCTCTGGTTAAAGAACCTCTCCTAACACCCAACCTCGATCTCCCAGATCCAGAGGTTACCTGCAGTCAATGCTCCTCGCTTCTGTGTGCATAGGGAAATCCTCATACCTTGCTCAAGGGATATGCCATGCTGCAGCAACACCCACAAGCCACATCCCAAAAGTTATGGGATCCCACAGCACAGGGCCTTACAAGGTTTCACTGCCTGCCCTGAGCCTCTCTTCTAGCATGCTCCCCTCGAGGTGGTTACCTTTCAGGTGCTCTCAGTGCATTTTGCTGCCCCACAGCACTTTCCACATGCCCACCATCCCATAGCAGGGAGTCCCCGTGCCTGACGGGGCACCAGGTTCGCTGCTCTTGCTTTGTGTGTGTGCTGCTGTTCCTCCATGACAGGAGGGAGCGACTCCTCTCCTCCATGCAGGGTTTGGTACACTTTTATCAAGTCGTCAGGAACATGGAAAAGTGCAGTGGGCACAAAAAGGAAACCAACACGGCCAGATCAGCACTGTGCTCTAACGGCTTGGATGGAGTTTTATTGGAGACAAGCCTGCTGAGAGCTGGAATAAATTTTCTGTAGCCCTGTAGCACACTAAGCAATGAGGATGGGGCTAGAAATTGCTCCAAAATGCTGAAGAGGACAGAACCCCTCCCCAAGCAGCAGAGAGGGGCAGGGAAGGACAAGCACAACATGCACAGTTTTGGTATTTCCTTTACCAAGAGCAGTGCACACCTGCTGAGCCCTTGGGCCCTGCAGGGAAGCTGAAAAGGGGCCTGACCTCAGTTCATGCTGCTCTCCATGTTGGGTGGAGGGGCAGGAGACGTGAGAACCTGGAGGTGAAATGCTCAGCATGCTCAGCCCCAGCAGAACCACCTCTGCCTCCTCCAGCTGGATGGATTTACCTTATAAACTGAAGAGGACTGGGCTGTCCTGACCGCTCCTCCTCCCCAAACACGAGGTCAAGGCAGGACTTGAGGCCTTCCAAAAAGACAAGCTGCCCCTGTTCCTTGGCAGCTGTTAGACTGATCCCCTAGAGAGAGGAAAACATTATGTTGCAAACTGCTTTGGAGGAAGGGTACAAACAGAACCAAGCAGATCAACAGACTATTTTTATATTAAGTCCCATCAAAATGTGCTAATAAAGTCACTGCCTGAATGACTCCTGCACAGTGGCTGTAAAAGGAGGAGAAAAAACTGAGACAGGGGAGGTTTAGGTTGGATATTAGGAGGAAGTTTTTCAGCCAGAGGGTGGTGAGGCACTGGCACAGGTTGCCCAAGGAGGCTGTGGATGCCCCATCCCTGCAGGCATTCAAGGCCAGGCTGGATGTGGCTCTGGGCAGCCTGGGCTGCTGGTTGGCGACCTGCACACAGCAGGGGTTGGAGCTGGATGAGCATCGTGCTCCTTTGCAACCCAGGCCATTCTGTGATTCTATGATAAACAAGCAGTGGGGTTTGGGGTGCTCAAATGAACTGGAATCACTCCTGGGAAGACAGCAGCATCACTGCTGCCCAGCATGAGAAAATAATTCTTGCTCAGAGTCAGGGAGAATATAGGCATGGGGTATTAGCAGGGAGCAATTTCTTCATCTTCCTTTCTTGGCAGGTGAAAGCTAATGGTTTTTATTATCTTCACATCACTGATGTGGCAACACTGACAGCCTGGCACTGGCAGCTCCTCAGCACAGCCCACGCACACGAGCAAGGTGCGGTCCGGAAGAAGCCAAGGCCGGGCACTGACACCCACACAGCACAGCTCCCAGGGAAAGCAGCCTCAGCATCCACCTGGGGCCAAGATCTCCCAGAATCATACAATCATTCAGGTTGGAAAAGACCTCTGAGGTCACCGAGTTCAACCCCAGCCCATCCCCACCATGCCCACTGACCCTGTCATCACATGCCACATCTCCATGGCTCTCGAGCACTCCAAAGACAGCAGCTCCACCACCTCCCTGGGCATCCTGTGCCAATCTCCTGCTCTACCTTGAGAGCCAAGCACAGGGCACATCCAGCTCCAGCACCTCCAGGACTGACAAAGCAAGCCCTGGCAGAGCTGCAGCAGATTCATACAGAAGATCCTGAATAGAAATCCCAGCTGGAGACACAGTTCACAAAACAGCTCCTCGTCCTTTTTTCTTTTTTTTTTTTAATCATCAAGGGCAACTTTTGGCAATTCTGTTGTTCCTTAGCTTACTGATAACTGCATCAGTTTGGCTTTTTGGAGAAAATGTAGTACTTTGTGTAACCATCAAGATACATCACACAGCTCACCGTGGTCAAACCGCCAGTTTCCCTGTGGGAAGAAGCATGAGTTTGCTTGGCTGTGCAGCGTGGGCTGCTTCCCACATTTCACAACGGACTGTAATCTCTTCAAATGGAGCTGGGGAGCGTTAGCACAAAGCCTCTGGAAATGGGGCTGTTGTGCAAGGCAGCAGGTAGTTGGCCAAAATGGCGAGACGTGGTTAACTAAGAGTTCAGGAAGCTTTAGCTCAGCGCAGGGTTGCTCAAGAGGCAAAACTAGGGAGACAGAGACTGGGAAGCAGGCTGTGAGCACCCGATGGAGCTGTGCACGTCCCTGCTCACTGCAGGGGAGCTGGACTAGGTGGCCTTTCCAACTCAAATGACTCCACGATTCTAACCAGAAACAAGGATCCTGAGAGAGAGGATCACTGGGACAAGGATCCCTGCAGGTGGGCAGAGCACGGCTGGGCAGAGTTGGTACCAGCCCAACTCCCCCCTTTGTAAAGGCTCCAGAGGTTTTCCAAGTGACACCCATGAGCTCTTTGCTCACATACAAAGGAGATGCACAAAGCCACATGTCCACTTCTGCCTCCCAATTCCCACCCCATATCCCACCTGCCAGACCCTCCTGTTACTCTGACATCAACCCATAAGAGCCAGCATTTCACCTCCTCCTCCTCCTTTTTTTTTTTAATTCTTAGTAGATTGGAAAGCTACAGCCCAGACATCTAATCAATGCCACATACCTACACGAGGCTGCTTTGGGAGCGTGGCATTTCCACACAAGCACCCCAAGAGAGAGAAGGTCTGAGTAGATAAGGAAGAGGCCCCTTCCAGGAGATTAACTCCCAGCCCTGCAAGGCTTATCAGTGGCCACATGTTTGCTGCTGATGATAGGAATGACAGATTTACACCGCATTTCTTCTCTTTGCTGAAGCTCTCAGGGGAGCATCCGTCAGGGCGCGTGGGCTTCAGGCACAGGAATTCAGCTTCTGCAGGTGATAATTACCCACTAAAACCCTGATGGGAAGCAGGGCAGGAGTGCAGAGCTAGCACTAGCCTCCTAGGCAATAATAAGGCCACACCACGGAACAATTCCTCACCAAGAACACAAGAGCTTTATGCAGCAGGAATGTGGATCAGCTGGCAAATACCTGACATGCCACAAAGCAGGGCTGTGCTGCAGGGCGGCTGCAGGAACAGGCTCACCGATCCCCTGTTGGACGTCTGGAGCTCACAGGACTCAGGCTCATCGTTAAGTGCTATGCCAAAGCAGCACCTGAAGTCACTCTTCATGTTGGTCAACTCAGAAATGGAGTTTTGCTTTGCTCTGTGCACATGCAAACTGTGTACTTCAAACAGAATGGCTCAGGTCGGAAGGGACTTCAAAAGAGCATTTATAGTTCCAGCCTCCCAGTTCAGCTGTTTCCCTAGCAGAGCAGCAAGGAACCATCATCTCCTCCTTGAAACACTTGGCAGCTCAGCTCTAGGACAGCAAGGCCCGCCTGGACAACAGAGGAAGGAGCCAGGAGAGCTCAAAGGTGATGGAAAATGAACCCAAAATAGCCAATGGCATCTGCTTGAGTGCCAGCAGGATCAGAGGCACTAAAACGTCCTTGCTGCAGGGCCACAGTGCCGAGCAGTGTGCGTTACCAACCCTGAAAGCCCTCATTATCTCACAGCACCGCGCTCCATCACCACGCACAGACATTATCTCTGGCAATCTGTCACTCATCGATCCAGCCCAGAAATGCCTCCGAGATCGCAGTCTGGGGAGATTGGAACCAACAGCTTCCCGACAAGGCACAGCTGCAGAGCCTGCAACGCTTCTGGGCAGGCAGCACCTGCAGGGTCCCAGCAGCCCGCAGCCACGACGTTCCTCCAAACCAAACCTGCTGCTTGCTGTCGGCCACTTCATAATGGAAAGCAAACTATCCGCAGGAGAGAAGGAATGATGGAGCACGTGAGGCAGCTCCATTAAGCTCCATCAGCTCCAACGGCGGATGGCACTGCGGTACAAAGTGCGACAGTCTGTGATCAGGCACTCATCCAAGGCCTCCTCTCCAGCATGTGTACCCTCAGGGGACAGCAGGGGCGAGCAGGAAACGTCCTCGGGTCTGCAACCTCAGCGCTGGGAATGGGGAGCAGGCAAGAGGGAGGCCACATGGAAATAAATATGCTTTTCCTTCAAAACAAATCAAACCTTGGACAAGTGAGAGTGGGAACACCAGCTGGTAGGCTGCCCTCGTGTCATCAGTCCTGCTGCAGTTCTCTAGAAGGTCACGACAAACAACGTTAACGTTAACTGTCCCTTCAATTAAGTGTGGATCCTCAAACGAAGGGTGGAATTTGAAAAAAAAGAAAGTGTGAGGGCAGCACTGTGAGGCAGCACAGGCACAAAATCCCAGGGAAACTGCATTTAGCTAAGCTGTGAGGGTCTGATGAGACCTGGCAGCACTGCTGGGAAGCAGCAACACCACCAGGTGCTACAAGGACTGCAAGGTAGCACTGTAAAGCCTGCATCATACTTCAGCAGCACACTCTCTGGGGAGGTCAGAGCATGCTTTCCAGCCTGGCAACGACAGCCAGGTTCTCAGCTTGCACTGAAATCTGTAGGCACTGTGATAGAAAAGAGTCAATCCTAGAACCACAGACTGGTTTGGGTTGCAAAGCACCTTAATGCCCACCGGGCCTCAGTCCTTGCCACAGGCAGGGACATCTCCCACAGCCCAGGTGCTCACAGCTCACATCTCGGCTTTGGGCATCGCCGGCTCGTTTGACTGCAGCCCTTCATTAGCACATAACCTTCTGCTAGAAAGGAATGCTATGGGAGATTGAACCCATGGAGCCAATGCTGCAGCTCAGCAGCCTTTTCCAACAGATCTGTCCCCCTGCAGCTCACCCGGCCAACACAGTGAGCCCAGGTCCACAGCTTCCCAGTGAGGAAGAGGCGGTAGGCAGGGACCAGCTGGGTGTTTGCAGCACGCAGCACCTCGCAGCAGCACGGCTCTGCTCACAGCAGTGCCTGAGACCAGGGCTTGCTGCAGCAGTGACATCTCAGCTGCCTCCAGCAGGCATTTACAGCAGCACAGCCAGACTGTAAAGAGACAGCTCCTGTCATCAAGTCTCCAGTCGTAAACAGGCCTGAGTGAAACCACTCTGCTAAAACAGAGTAACAGAGCCTGCCGTGATCATCTGGGAAAAGGGTTAAAGCAAAGCTCTTACAGAAATGCAGATACAAATAAGTGACAACAGAACCACTGACTGCTTTAAAGAATTCACACCAATCGCACACACACAGACCTGCAAAGTTATAATAAGAGTGATTCAGAGACCTGAAACCAACAGGACAGGGTCAGCTCACTGCTGTAGGCAAATGTAATCCCTTCCCTCAACTCCCCCAGCAAACTGCATTGTTCTTCTTATCACTCCTTCACAAGAGTAATCTTTGTGTTGGAAGCATCAGACAGCAAAGCACTTTGATTTGCATTGCACATGGGCTCCAGCTAATCCTTCTGTTCTCCCACTTCTCAGACTCTCCCACCAGAGAGATGACACCACCACCTATTAAAAGCACACGCTGGAGCTGTGTAATGGGAAATTTCACCATCTTCAGGAACACACCAGCAAATATGATTCTGCTTTTAGTGCAGGCAAGGTTCCCATACCGAACAGCCGAATCTCCAACCCACATTTCCTCCTCTGGGAAATGCTCTGCAGGGGAAATGCACGCTCAGTACCTGAGAGTTAAAGCTTCACATCAAAATGCTGTTTGCTCAGTCCATCTTAGTTAACTTAAGTCTGAGCCCTCAGGCCATTTATCTCCTCCTGACAGAAGGTGAAAACTGAGTATTAAAAATAAAACCAGCTGTCTAGCATTAGAGTGAGGAACAGACCATCACTGCACCTGGCTCCTCAGTACCTTCTCTGTAAGCTGAAGCACTGCTGGGGCTCCCAGCAGAACAGAGCAGGGTCAGTGCAATCCCTTCAGCTCTGGGAGGTCACCTGGATTTTGCACCCAGAGCATTCTATGGCTGTAAGAGAGCACTCCACAAAAGCTGAGAGATGCATTTCAACCCACAGGTGAGAGGGGTGCTCTGACACTGGGAATGGCCTTGGTTCTTAGCGTCCTCATTCTGTGGTACGTGTAATCCTTCCCTGATTCGCCATGGGAAGGAAATTGGTGCTTGTGGTTTCTCAGATGGCTCAGACCCATGTCTTTGCCCAGAAGCCAGAAGCAGCACACAGGCACCCTCTGAATGTACCCGGACACAGATACCAGAGGGCTTTCCTCCCCAGAACACCACTGAAACTGCGTCCACAGGTGTGGGCTTGTCTACAGGGCCCGCAGTTACCAACCTGTGCCAGGAGACTTACCAGCTTCTGTGCTACAATGTTATAGTGACTGAAGGACTGGACCAGGGCCAGGAAGCAAACCTTACAGCCAGCTGGGGAAGAAGACAAAAGACACATTGTTATTACTTCACTTGTAAACTGCCATTATTGTGGCACATAAATCACAGCAGCCAGGCCATAAATCTGCCTGCAAAGGCCTTGAAGGGAGGAAGGTGTAGGCAGCCTCTCACTTGCTCATAGCTTGGAGTGGAACAGAATGGCTTTCCATTCTTACCTTTCTATGGGTTTTCCATTCTTGCTTTTCTTTGAGCTTTCCAATTTAGTGAAAGCTGTAGCCAGGTTAAAAATAAACAGAAGGAACAAGAAAGAGATGACAAAGAAAAATTAGAAAGCCTCTTTTCTGTCCCATTCCATTCTGCCCAGGGATCTCCCTGCATTGTTTGTTGGTACAACTGCAAGGAGGCCAACGGCCGACCATGACACGAATTACTGAAATCACAGGCCTGCCAAGAGTCCCTGTTTTGGCTCTCCCAGGGCAAGTGACCTTATCTGCAAACACACACAAAGAACCAGCAATTTTCACAAAGATATCTCACTAGAACATGATTTTGGAAAACCCAGCGCGTGACAACCTGGCCTTGTGCTTTGGTTCAGACCCAAAGCGGCGCGGCTGCTTCTCCCTGCCAGAGTGCAGGACACAGATCACAAGTGGCAAGGTCTGTGGCCCCAGATTACGAGCAGCAAGGTCTGCGGTGCCAGCTGGGCCTTCCCAAATGTTTTGAGCACCAGCTGGGCACTGGGTCAAGGGCAGGATGATGGTGCTGAAGTTCGGCATGGCAGGCTGTAAAGGAGCACTGCCCCTCGACCGGCTCCCGCTGCTCACTCCCTGCTCAGCCCATGCCTTCCTGCAGCGCCTCTCTGTTCAGCAAATCAAGGAAACCAAACCTTAGAAATGAGTGAAGCTGCAGCTGAGGAGGTGGCAGTTGTGGGGGAGCACACACAGCACCCCGAGCGAAATTTCACTCTGCACAGGTTTACCAGCAGAGAACTGGAGTCTGCGAGTCGGGTGGCTGCTCCACAGAGGCCGATAGGTTATTTGGGGCTGGGAGGTCAGCAGCAGAGCAATGAGGCAGTTTGCCAGCAATTCCGTTTGTTTGTTTACTCACTGCTATCTTATCTATCTGCCAGTTGTTCCTGATAGTTACAAGATGTTGCGAAATGTTCAGTAACAAAGGACCCACACATGGCAGCTCTCCCTCAGATGCCCAGGTGATTTACGGCCTTCACTGCGCAATGACATCACTGCACAGAGACGAAGGGCTCGAGAGCAAGGCCTAGGAACAAGTCAGGACTGGGAGCCAGAAGCCCTGCATGATGGGAGGATGCCCTGCTCCCCTCAGAATCAGCTCTTGCAGAAACACTTGGTGGAGAAGGAACTTCCAAGGAGCAGGTGAGGACAAACCCCTGCCTTGCAGAGTCCTGCTGCTCACCCACCTCTGAGGTAGAAGGAGAGGAAGTGGTGCACCAAGAAGCTGCCATCCGTTCTGCTGTCTCGCAGCAGTGTGAATTTACCCTGGAAAAGAAGCAGCAAAGAAACTTCAAAGCGGGTTAAGATGAGGGTATGAACAGCTCCTGGCTCTGTGCCTTGGGAGACGATGCCTGCAGCCAGGGGAGGCTCTGCAGGTACAGAAGTTGGACTCTATGATACCTAGGGGTCTCTTCCAACTCTGGTTATTCCATAGTTCTATGGCACCAGAGGAGGAAGGGCGCAGGCAGCACCTCAGCCACCATCAGGCTCACTGAGACATGCCACATTCAGAGCAGGAAGCCTCAGCATCTCAATGTGTTTACAGGAGCAGAACCCTGCACAAAGTACACTACCTTGTTCTGATCGGGCAGGAAATGAATTCACTTCATCAGTGCACACTTGTTATCAGCACTAGACTCATCAAGGCATTTGTTTCCATTAAAATGTCAGTTGAGATTTTCCTCTAATCAGTACAAAACATAAATGGGTTGCTTTTAATCACTAAACTTATCATTGCCTTTTTTTTTTTTTTTTTCAATTTATTACAAGAAAAAAAAAAAGCTCTTTGCAGCAACAAGCAATCTGCCCATAGGTGATTTGCAAGGCATCTATCAGTTAACACCCCCATGCATAACGTGTTGTAAAGTGCTGCTAACAGAATGACAAACATTCAGTCCGTCTGCAGGGAATGCAAAATGAAGTTTAGGGTACAGAAATGCTGCTCTGCCCCAGCCAGAGAGCACTTTTCCACCCAAAGCAGAGTGGAGGCACCACCCAGTGAGAGGCTCACAGGGATGTCAGTATTGTAAGCCTAGAGTGGTCTCAGGAACAGCACAAGATCCTCATTTGTGTGTTCAGCCCCTCCACGAGCTCCTCTCATCCCCTGGGACTCTCCTGCACGCTGTGAGTCTGAATGCAGCCCCTCTTCCCCTCCTTGCTCACAGTGAAGTGAAGCCTGCCTGCTTGGAAGGCTGTGCGCTTTGCTACCGCACGCTGTGCAGGACTCGGTGGGATGCTGTCATGGAGTGCACATGTGATTTACCTCCTTTAGAACTTCCAGTTACTGACCTTCAGTCTCAATGATTCTCACTTTGCTGTCGCACTGCAGCTGCTCAGTACTCAAAACTCTCCATTTCTGATGTTTCCATGCCCAGCTAGCAAGTGATAGGAATGTCTGAACCGTGCACCTCCTGCACTGCTGGCTCTGCACCCAGGACTCCTGGAAATACCAGAGTCCTGCCTGCCTTCCACCCAGTCCACACACCCTTCCTGAGCCCAGGAAGACTCTGCTCAGCATGTCTGTAGCACTTCAAGGGAAAGACTCCTGCAGCGCCTTCTCCTTCTGTCTGCCCAGCACTCTGCTTTCACACTCTGTCCACCTGCAGGCTACAGAGCAGAAGCTGCAGCTACGTGTTAGAAACTGCCAGCATCGACTGGCAGGGCAGCGGCAGGAGTGACAGCATTTGGTGGTGACATGTCAGTACACCCACATAGGCAGCAGCTTCTTCCACCTCCCAGCCCTGCAGTCAGTTCTTTGAAAAATCACAGAACTGTAGAATCATCACGTTTGGAAAAGGCCTTTCAGATCGCTGTGTCCCACTGTCAGCTCCACCATGCCCGCTGACCATGCCCCCAGGTGCCACATCTCTACGGTCCCTGACCACCTCCAGGGATGGTGATTCCACCACCTCCCTAGGCACCGTGCCAGTGCCTGAGCATTCTTTTGGAGGAGAAATTCTTCCTAACACCCAACGTGAAATGGCACAGGCTTAACCGCAGACATGCAGAAACGATATGGCAGAGAAGGGAAAAGGAAACCTGCAAAGGGCTGATGCTTTTTAAGAAGGATTTCTGGCCTGCATTCGTAGCCCAAGAGTGGCAGGACGTCCAAGTGGGTGGATGGAATTCCATGTCCTCAGCTGATGGAAGGAGGAAAGAGCCAACACAAATCTGAGTCTTCGGTTCAGCACTGCTTCCAGGTTCTGCCCACGCTGTCACATCAAAACTCAGGATTTTGAGGCATAACCTCCTTCTGCTCTGCTAAATTCCCGTCCTGCACCTGCGTTCATTGAGTCCATCTGCTGGCGTCACACAGCATTATCTAACAATTAAACCCTATATCTGCAAGCGGTGTCCCAATGCTCCATGAGCTCCAGCAGCTCAGGGCTGTGCCTGCTGCCCTGGGGAGCTGCTCCATGCCCACTATCCTGTGGGGCACAGCCTTTCCCTCATACCCCCCCATCCCCCACTTCCCAACCCTCCCTGACAGCTCCATGCTGTTTCCTTGGGCCCTGTTGCTGTCATAGAGAGCAAAGCTGCCCCTTTGCTCCCTGTGAGGATCTGTAGAGCCATGAGGGGCTGTAGGGCACCATGAGGCCTCACCTCAGCCTCATTTGCTCTGGGCTGAACAAGCAAGATGTAATGGCTGTCAGGCTGCACCAGGGGACGATCAGGTTGGATACTGGGAGCAGTTTCTTCTCCAAAGAGCATTTGAGTGCTGGCACAGCTGCCCAGGGGTGGGAGATCACCATCCCCAGAGGTGTTCAAGAACTGTGGGGATGTGGCACTGGGGGACGTAGGCAGTGGGCACAGTGGAGGTGAGCTGACAGCTGGACATAATGATCTTAGAGGTCTCTTCCAAACTTAATGACTGTGGGACTCTAAACCCAGGGACCTCACATGTTCTCTCCTCAAAGTCTTCACTCCTTCAGGGTGTGGGGTGACAGACCCCAAACACCCCACGGCAGCTATGGGGAACTCCATGGGTTCTGCAGCTGTACAAAAAAAAAGGCCACTCCAAATATACAATTTTATTGCCTAACATAGCACGTATCAGGAAATACATCCCATTCTCTGTAACACGTGGAGGTGTTTTCTTAACGTTTGACCCAAACGTGCCACAGCTCCACACAGAGCTCAGCAACCACAGCTCAGCACCAAAACTGCAGGGACAAAACACTTCCATGCAGCCTCCTAAAGGAACAGAAACTTTTTCTGCCCAGAGATGCGGTGGATGCTCCAACCCTGCAGACTTCCAAGGCTGGATCAGGCCTTGGGCAACCTGATGGAGCTGTGCTGTCCCTGTGCACGGCAGGGGAGCTGGACTAGATGGTCCTCACAGCTCCCATCCAGCTCTAAGAGTTCTCCCCGGAGGGGCAACGCTTTCACATTCCCTCCTTTTGCTCCGTCCGCCCCACAGATCCCTACGAGCTCTGTGAAGGGCCGTTCCCTCCTCATGGTGCCACGGCCGCAGCCCGCCCGTACTACAGCTCCCGGCGTACCCCGCGCCGCCGCCTTCCCGCCTTCCCGCCTTCCTGCCTTCCCGCCTTCCTGCCTTCCCGCCCCACAGCCCACCGCCTACCGCCCCCTTTCCGCCTCCCCGCGCCCCCGCCGCCTTCCCGCCTCCTGCCCTCACCGTGTCCGGGCGCTGCGGGGCGGCGTCCAGCAGCTCGTTCAGCTCCTGCAGCATGGTGGCTGTGTGTGCGCGCGTAGTGAGTGGGGGGAGCGACCAGAGCCGCGCATGCGCCGGGAGGGGCCGCCTTCTCGCTGCCAGCCCCCCCACACCTCCGCCATGTTGTCCTGGTGGGCGCGCGGAGGGGGCGCGCTGAGAGGCGCTGTGAGAGGCTGAGGGGATGCACTGAGGGACACGCTGAGGACAGAGGGGCAAAGTGAAGGCTTACACTGAGGGGACGCACTGAGGGACTGAGAGAATCCCTTGAGGGGCATCCTGAGGGCTGCCCTCAGGACAGAGGGACGTACTGAGGAGACACGCTGAGGAGACAGTGGAAGGCTGAGGGGACCCGCTGAGGGGCAGGGACACGAGTACGTCCCTGCTGTAGGAAGGGCCCTTCGCTCTGTTCCAACCCAAACATTTGCTTATTCTGCGATCCCCACCTCCCCCTGCTGGCAGCGCTGTCCCCGCCGCAGCCCGGACGCCCTTTGCCCGCGGGCTGCGGCTGCTCACAAAGCTGAGCTGTGCCCGGGTTCGGGGCTGTCAGCCTTGTTGCAGCAGGGATTGGAACCGGGTGGTCTTGGAGGTGCTTTCTGTCCAACCATTCTGTGGTCCTGTGACTCAGCAACACTCCTGGGGCTCAGCGCTGGGTCCTCCGGCTGGGCTCTTCATGGAGCAACATGGAGCCGTGTCATGGAGCAGTGCCTCGCGTCATGAGGCAGCGCCTTGTGTCACAGAGCAGCATCCCGTGCCATGGACCAGCATCCCATGTCATGGAGCAGCACCCTGTGCCATAGAGCAGCACCTCACCACATAGCAGCACCCCACACCGTGGAGCAGCACCCCATGCCATGTACCAGTGCCTCACACCATGGGGCAGTGCCTTGTGTCATAGTGCAGCGCCCTGTGCCATGGACCAGCATCCCATGTCATGGAGCAGCAGCCTGTGCTGTAGAGCAGCACCCCAGATCACAGAGCAACACCCCACACCGTGGAGCAGCACCCTGTCATGGAGCAGCCCCCCACACCGTAGAGCAGCACCCTGTGCCGTGGACCAGCACCCTCGTGGTCACCACCCATGGTGTTCTGTGGCACGCTGCCTTTTTGGGGAAGGCTCTCTGATTTTCTTAATGTTTCTGACCAGCTTACCATCACATCCAGGCGCTGCTGAGCTGTCATTTGGCTCTCAAAGACAGAGCAGTGGCAGCTCCCTGCTTTGCTGAGTGGTAACAGCTAATTTACAGCCAGCAAGCATGAACATCTGAACTGCGTGGAGCTATTTTTTGCCTGAATTTGCATTTTTTTTCAGCACTTTTCCATGTTATTCCCTTGCCTTTGCTTTTGTAACTTTATTGTGCTGTAAGTGAGGACTGCAGGCTGAGGGAGGTGTGCAGGCCCAGTGTGTGCCCCGTGCTGCCTCATCTGCTGTGAGCATTAGGGGGCATCCAACGATGCTGATAAATGGGCGATGCTGCACGGCAGTGAGGGAACACACGGCACAGCACAGTGCTCAAAAAAACACAGATTGTCCCCATTGAAAGGTTATGAGGGGCTCAGAGGGGTGATTGATGGGAGAAGGGAACGGATCCGTGGAAGAGAGGTGTTCTGAGGGCTGTCACCAGCTCAGGGGGTGCCTGAGATGCACATTTTTGGGGCGTAGGAAAGGAGATTTGGGACCACAAGCAGCCTTAGCTCCAGGCTTCTCCCATCTTCTGATGTGGATATTTGCTGCAGTGAGAGGGTGGGCTGACAGAGGTCTGACTGAATCACTGCAGCTGTTCTCTGTTCTTTATTTCCAGTGTTCACACATGCAGTATCTGTAAAATGTTGGCATGCACCAGGTGAGCCCAGAGCCCCAGATATCCGCCTGCCATCCCTCCCTGCTGTATCAGCCCCTGCCTCCTGCCTCCCACCCAGTGACTGAGCTGGGAAAGTGCTTTCTCCCTTCCCTCCAATGGCTCTGCTTCAGGAAAAGCTTGAGCTGAAACCTTCCATCTCTTTGCTTTCATTTTCCAACCCTTTCACAGAGCTGGGAACCTGGTCTGGTCTCGGTTTCTCTCCCCGCAGCACTTCCCTTCGGGAGCTGCAGAACCCTCAGTGCCATGTGAACGAAATGTAAAATCTCATCTTTTTCTCTTTGCAGAGGGAAGAGGAGCAGAGACGCATGCAAAGTGCAGCTGTGTCTCTCAAAACACCTCTTGTCCTTCTTAATGTATTCCTTCGCACATTCCATGACTGCGCAAAGGCAGCGAGGATTTCGCCGTTGGAACTGTTGCCCCTTCCCTCCCGTCTGCTCCGCGCTTATCTGCAGCACTTACAATGCAGCAGACCTCGTGAGTGGAGCGCAGAGGAGCCATATGGCATCCATAGGTAACAATGCTGCTGACAATTGAGCTGTGTGCTACGTGAGACCACCAGCAAAAAAGCAATTTGTGACCAACAGCAGGAAAAAAAAAACAACCCACAACTAAATAAAACAATCAATCTTGCAGTGTTTGAGGTGATTCCCAAGAGTGTGGCTAGGATGGATAACTAAAAGCAGTGAGCTTCTTGGTGTGAGTGGAAAACCGCCTTTGGGGAGAGACGCTTTGATTTACCTCCCTCGATTGTGGCTGCTGCAGCAAACTGCCCACAGTGCCACCACCCGGGATGTCCCCGTCCCTTTGGACTGCAATCGAACTGGGGTGCGAGCGTTCCCATGCCTGCAGATAGCGCCGTGGCCACCGGTCGGATGCTAAAGGCGTTAGTAACGCTTTGAGCCACAAAAGATCATTAGTGCAAGGCCAGAAGAGGTTAATGAGAGAGCAGCTGTTGGGCTGGCTCAATGCTGGGGCGACAAAAGGAAAGGCAGAGTGTCCCCTGAGCTGGGGGGGGGTCAGCCCTCCCGACACGGCCAAAAGCAGCTGGAGGAATAATGGATGAGCGGAGCCAGGTGCTGGGTTGCTCCGAAGCAATGCGGTGAGCCGACACCGTGATGGGGTGCTGCCACTGCTGCAGAAATGCTGCCCCACGCGCCCATCCTCACCCCTGTAGGAAAAAAATGGGGAAAACTGCCGGCAAACCGGCTGCTCCTTGTCACATCAGCACGGCGTGAATTCTCGATGTGAGTGTTCCAGCTTGCAAATGAGCAGGAATCACAGAGCCGGCTGCAGCCAGCTCCCAGTGCAATGCATCACTGCTGGGCTCGCCTCTCCGCAGCGCCAGCTGGAAATGGGGCACAGGACCTCGCTGTCTGCCTCAGGGCTGGGTCTGAAATGCAGAGACAGACGTGGGGAAGCAGCAGCAGCACACTTGCACCTTCCCAGTGCCTTCAGCTCAGCAGCAAGTGGGAAAAGCACTGCGGGTGAAGCCAAGTCCTGCAGGGATTTGCACATCCGCTCCCTGGGGCGGTCGTGGTAAACACAGACAGTTAATAGGAAAGGCAGAGATCGTTATTCTTTCCTTTACAGAAATCTTCCTGCCTGCCTGTTCATCTGCACATTAACACGTCTCTCCCTCTGCGCACACAGCAGATGTAGGAGGAAATGCCACAGAACTGCGTTGTGCCCCCGGCCGAGAGCAGGAGAGCTGGTGAGGACGGAGGGGAAGGGCTGACATTTCTGATCAGCCGAGCACCAGGCTGCAGGGACACGGCGAGGTCGCGCAGCACCTGCTGCCAGGAGGGATCAGCTCACCCGAACCCCTGCTGGCAGACGTCGGCCCGCCCTGCTCCCAGGATGCTGCTGCGCCACAGCCCTGCTGGGCGTCCCTCCCAGCCCCTCAGCCCCCTCTGCTCATGTCAGAGCCACGCATCCCTTGCTACTTTTAACCGTGACTTGTTTGTGACCGCCTGTGGCCATGAGGAAGAATATACTGCATTCATAAAGTGAGAAAAAAAATATATTGTTTTGATTCAATTTTCAGGTCACCTTTACAATTCACGTTGCTGTTTGGAAGCAAGCTGCCTGCTGGCTCTCCAGGAGGCCCTTTTCCAGCAGAGACTGAAGATCCCCAGGAGCCGAGCCGAAAGCGGCGGGGATGTGGCAGCAAAACCACCCCAGCGGGAGCTGCCGCGATGTGAGCGCTGCTGTGAGCAAAGGGGGAGCAGCAGCTCCCAGCACTGAGCATTGCAGGCAGGGAAAAGCACCCAGTCCCATCCCTGAGGCTCTCTGAGCACGCTGCTCCAGCTGGACTCTCTGCCCTTCGCATCCACCTTCATCCTTCTCCTTCACACCTCTCCTTAGCCTCGCCCAGCTCCTTTCCTCACGTTGCCCCATGCTGCCTTCCTCCCTGCAGCTCCTCCTCCTCATCCTCCCTCCTTGTCATAGAATCATCGAAACAGAACCATTCAGGTTGGAGAAGTCCTCCCAGACACCCACTGCCCACGTCCCCCACGGCTCTGGAACACCCCAGGATGATGATCCCCATCCCTGGGCAGCTGTGCCAGCACCCAGTTCTCCCTTTTCCTCCCTTCTTGCCCTTCATCTTCCCCCGTTGCTGACGGATCTCTCCCATGTCTCCATTTCTCTGTCCCCCCCTATTTATAGAATCACCAAAAAGGTCAGAAGACACCTCTGAGCTCACCAATCCAACCCCAACCCATCCCCACCATGCCCACCCTCCACGTCCCTCAGTGCCACATCTACCCTTAAGAATTCCACCTCTCTCGCCCTGAATCTCCAGTCCTGCTTCACCCCTCAGAAGCAGGAGCAGAATTTCCTCCTCTTCTCCCCAGTCCTCCCCAAAATCCCCAGTTCCCCTCTCTGAGCACCCAGCACTACTGGTGCGCTGAGCCGCTGCCTGCCGCGCCAGCCGGGATCCTCTCTGCCTCTTTGTGCTCCTCTCCCCAACAGATTGCCTCCATCTGCCGTCTCTTGCCTTGCAGTTAAATCGTGAGCTCTCTGAAGCGAGAGCCGTGCTGCCGTGCTGCATTTTTGTCTCACCTACAGAAAGGAGATCTTCCCTCGAAGGTGCTTCTGCAAAATGGCTTCTAATTAATGCAATAACGGAGAATAGGAGGCAGCAGTCTGAGCAACGCTCAGAGAACGTCGTGTCGAGAACTGAGA